TAAGTTAAGATGCCACAGGGAGAAAGTTCAACAAATCAGACAAATTTGAATACCAAAGCAGTTGCCGTGAAAGAAACCTATTCGAAATGTGGTGCCAAATTGCACTAAGATGCACTAAGAAATCTATGCAACAGAGAAGAGCATGAAGACAGTACATGTAAAGATGAGTGCTTCAAACATTGAGATCGTTGTTATTGTTTAAAATTAAGCATGACACAAAACCATCGTGGACCACAAAGGGGCCACTAGCATCCAAGCAAGAAAAAATACAGGTCAGGTTAGACCAATACTATTTGAACAGACCATGTGTTGATGGCTTGTGTTATGATGCTCAGTTCTGATATTTCGAGTCTCTGGGGTTGTTTTTCTCTATCATTAACACCTCCAGTGTGTGAAGTGGTTTCGGCCAACCCAGATCTATAGTGTCGTGATTTCGACACTCCCGCTTCTCCAGTGAATTCCGATTCTTCCCAACCTTCGTCGCGATTTGAAGAAAGAGCTTTAATTGATCCTCTAAATTTCGCTTTGTCTTCTCCTCAGCGAGCTTTTGTAGTCCTACTACGCTTTTCTTGGAGGAAAGACGTTTTGTTGCTGTTTTTTAAGATCACGCCACCGACAGAATGAACTTGTGTTCCCTCCAGTCGCCATGACTGGGTTTATATTTTCCTTGAGAATAAACTACCTTATCATTGAAATACTTTAATCAGGTCCCATGCAGACTTTACATTTTGGCGGTTAACGTTGAATAGACGAAATCATTTCCATCGAAAGAACTTCTGCACGAAACTTGGGACGCGATTTTTATATCGTGTTTGCCTTCTGCGCCCGTGTATTCACGGTAAGAGGAATACCTGGGTAAGAGCGGAAATTGTTTTGCTTGCGTCTCGTGTTGAAGATGGCCTCCGCACAAGACGAAAACTGCATAAGTCCATATAGAAGACTACTCATAGATATGTCGATGCAACTGTCTAGCAAAGATCTGGAAAGGTTAAAGTATGCTGTAGGAGATCGCCTTCCCAAGAGATTGACAGAAAACATTGAAAGTGGACTGAAGTTATTTGAAGCACTGGAACAAGATGTACACATTGGTCCACAGAATCTGACCTTGTTACATGATGGGTTTAAAGCGATCGGCAGAGTGGATCTCGCGCAAATAATTTATGTTTTTTCAAGAAAACTCCACGAAGCTGGTGAGACTGAAGGTAATCCTGTAGAAAGTGTATCTTAAAGAGAGAAATATTGCCCAGTTATTGTCGTATCGGTCGCAAAGCTCAGTCTTCACATCCGAGTTTGATGGCAAAAACAAATAATTGAAGAAAATGTCGAAACTTACTCGAATTGCTTGATATTTACATACAACAGTAAAATCTGAATAGAGAAAAGGTTCCTTTACGCGGAAAAATATTGTAATTTACTAAAAAGTTAGATCTGAGTTCAAGAACGCGGAAATTTGCAACGTAAGCATCAAAGAATACTTAATTCGCCTTTTAAGACCTTTTACGCCTCGCTATTTAATTCCACAAGATATTTTTTTACCATAAATTACCTCTGGTATATCAATAAAGTGAGTTCACATAGCTAGTTCCATAAAATTATTTAGACACAGGAAATTATAGCTAGTTTGTTGTGATTTTGTTTTTTATTAGTTGGGCCAGATGACATGGTATCTGACGGCGTAGGGAACGGAAGTGATCTAGAACCAAAAGGAAGTGATCTCTCATACACAGGCGCTCGAAAAGGTACAGATACGTCTAAACTTAGTGAACTGGCTCACCCTCCGCATTGCCCTGTAACGAAGAAA